TCTCAGATGGGATTACATCTTTGCAACTTATCTATAATGATAGCGTATTTCTTGTTCCGGAAATAATCAATAAGGTCATCCTTAAGTGCAGGCGATGTAATGTTTTTTTTTTTTTTTTTTTAATTTGGCATGAACATTTAGTTATATGCAACTGTATGTGCTCCAGTGTACTCCCCCAACCATGCGTTCTCACGATTTCACTTACATGATCAATTGTGTGCGTATTGCACAATGGCAGGTCATGCATACAGCAAGTTGCAACTCTGCTGCCCTTAACTTTATCATTACTTTGCCTAGGAGTCATTGTTGCAATAAGCTGTGACTGGCTTTTTGACGGAGTTTTCATGATTTGAAATGCTACTAATTCTTGGTGCATAAGTGCACTGACACAGTTTACAGTATGCTGCCTCTGATTCGTCTGAAGGTCTTTTGAGCCGTGGGTATGTTTTATTCCAGTTACTATTATACTTGCAATGTCATTAAGATGCTTTCCATTTTTTTTTTTTTTTTTGCGTGGATGACGTGGCCATTGGTAGAAGTAATAAAATCTATCACAGATAGAACTAGGTCTATATCCTCTCTATTTTCTGTCCTCAAGTAGTTTCTGAACAGTCTGAATCACTTGGTATCAGTGGTGGGTTTTGGTTTTATACCCCGCATTTATTTTAGTAGATTAACATAAATTACAGAGGGCCTTCATTGATCGAAGTCACGATCCATTTAGGAAGACAACAAATACAAAAAGAAATGGCGCGAATTCCCATTAGTCCGTACCAGGACATCACAACAAAGTCAAACTGAAATAAAGATGTTAACTGTAGGTCTATATTGCCAGGAACAACCCAAATATGACAAAATATGCCAGTTCCTTATCTTATGCCAGTTCAATTTCAAATATGCCAGATTTGTGGAATCTGGCATAAAAAATGCCAATATGGCAACCCTGCTTACATCCGGTAAACAGGAGGAGGGACTAGTCAGTACCACCCATTCCTGCCATACATCATGTCAGTGACTTCATAGTCAACAACTGCCTGTGATTCTGTGAGGTTCACCACCAGCTGGTATCTACAACGCTCTGGTATTTGTAGATGGTCATAATGTTTGTAACTACCATGGTCAGTGGATGAAACCGAAGTAGAACTGATACATACTTTAATTTAACAAGGCCCATCTTCCGTGAAATACCAATTAACAGTGACTCTATTATGGGGTATATGTGTAGACAGTTTAGTTTTATCCAGTATTGTGTTTTGATGAGCCGGGAGCTTCAGCAAGAATTCACCAGTCGTGTGAGGAGGCCTTCTTCCCAGCCAACCGAACCTTGTGCCAGATAAGCGCCAGCACCTGCAGTTAATCCTATACCTAAGTGCCAGTTCCATGAGTCCATTATTCCACATCTTAGCAATGATGACGCTGGCTGCTACTAAGGGAAACTCATGCGATTATCTGTCATAACTTGTTCTTTATTTCCTCAGTGGGGATTGACTTTGTTGAATCCCTTTTCTTTTATTCCTACAAGTGTTGCACTGATTACGTGATGTTTTGTGATTTTCACATTCTGTTTTTAGTGTCCATCTTTCACTGTTCCTAGTTGTCTGAAGTGTTTGTAATGATGTTATACTGCATGTTTTATGGTGTTATTTTGACTAGCAAAGAGGTACTATCTAGTCTGGAGGCCTAAAAGTAGTAAGGAAGTCAGGCCAAGTTGCGCCTAGGAATGTTTATGTATTCTGTAGTGCCATAAATTGAGTCGCCTCACCCCTGAAGTAGGTTGGATGTTCATTGGAGCTGCGGTAATCCACCTAGACCATTGCGAGCCAACATCTCAACATTAAAAACTACTTCAGAGTGCTATTTGGTTCATTGGGGGAAACCCTAACAAAGGCAAGTGACACTAGCAGTATATGACACCTTTAACAAAGTAACAAGAATAAGGCAGCGGGAATAGATGGTATTACAGCAGAAATGCTCCTTGCATGTAAGACAACAGCTACAGCTTGGTTGACCAGAATCTTTAAAATAGCTTGGGAGGCAAGAAATGTTCCAAGTGACTGGCAGAGAGCAATTATTTTATTACCCTATTTGGAAGAATAAAGAGGACAAACGAGACTAAAACATATAGGGGCATCTCCATCTTGAGTCATACTAGAAAGATGTTTGCAAAAATACTGGAACTTAGAGCTTGTCCAGTTCTAGAGCCCCAGTTAAGTAAGAGACAGTTGGGTTTCAGGAAGGAAAAGATCTTTACAGATGCAATATTTTCTTTGAGGCAGATAAGTGAGCAGTCTATTGAATATGATACAAGTCAACGCCTGATATTTGTAGATCAAGAGAAAGGCATTTGACCCAGTCAACAGATGCAAACTATAGGAAAATTCTAGAGGATTATGGTATTCAAGATCAACTGTTGGATAATATCACGGCTCTTTACCAAAATAGTCCGTGCACAGTAAGAAGAACAGAAGGCATGACAGACTGGCTTCCCTTCTCATCAGGTGTCAGACAGGGATGTGTCCTCTCGCTATTGCTTTTCATTACTTACATGGTTAGAATTACAGAGGAGGCAAATACAGACACGGAAGAAATCAATGAACCTCTTTTTGCAGACGATCAATGTCCAGTACACCATCAAAAACAGAATTTACAACACCATATTGACTCCTTACATCAAACCTGCAGAAAGTATAAAATGAGAAAAAAACTGAGGTAATGAGAATAGGCGGTAAACATAATATCATGAACGTTCATGCTAACGGAATTACAATCACACAAGTACGAGAATTCAAATATTTAGGAAGCCTATCTACATAAGATGGGAGACTCGATAGAGAGTTAGAAGCCAGAGTACAGAAGGCAAATGTTTTCAGCTACCATTCAGTCCAACTGCTTAGGCACCCAAATTTCTCCCTTCCAGTAGTATTTTTACCCATACATTATGTTATCAGTCCCAAACATGGACAATGAATAAGGCACTAGAACAGAAAATAGCTACACGTGTCACTAACAACACAAGAAGAGACAACGTTACGAATACCAGCATTAGAGATAAAGACATGTCTGGATTATATTTACAGATCAAGAATAAAATGGTTCAGCCATCTAGTGAGAATGCAGCCAGACCAAACTGCATCTGAGACTCTTAACAGCAGAACATCTGGGAGGAAGGCAAGAAGAAGACCAGACAAGAGATGGATAAATGGTGTAGCAGAAACCTGCAAAAAGATGGATGAATCCATCACCCAAGCCACCTGAGAAGCGCAAGACAAATAAAGAAAAACCACGCCACTAGGCTACAACCTATAATCGATTAGACGATAGAAGAAGAAGAAGAAGAAGAAGAAGAAGAAGAAGAAGAAGAAGAAGAAGAAGAAGAAGAAGAAGAAGAAGAAGAAGAAGAAGAAGAAGAAAGAAGAAGAATAAGAAGAAGAAGAAGAAGAAAAAGAAGAAGAAGAAGAAGAAGAACAACAACAACAACAACAACAAGAAAAACAAGAAAAAGAAGAAGAAGAAGGAAAAGAAGGAGAGGAAAAAAAAGGATCATTGTCCACGCCTCCAGATGTACTTGGATATAGGGTTAGACCGATATGTTATCGATAAATGGGCACTTGTTGGGTGTTGGCTGACCGACTATATATCCCAGGACTGCATTTGGTACCCACTTGAGGCAGGGCCGACGTGGAAGCCAATGTCTCCCCCCCCCCCTCCCCCCGGACAAACCACGAAGACAGCTGCGACGTTCCACAAAGGATCTAAGTATGATGATAGTTCTTTGTTGGAATTTACTTATTGCCTTAACGCCCTCAACATGCACACCAAACCGAATTGACAAATTTGAGAAACCTGTAGTTTGTTTTTCCACCGAGATGATAATAGATTACTTCCTTGTTAGACCGCACATTCGAACAAAGAGAACAAAAAAAAAAAAAAAAATTGACAAAATGAACACAAAGAAATTTAGTGTATGTAACTCCTAAGTCAAGGAAATTATCTCCCGTACATGTTCGGTAGATTCCGTGACTAGTCGGAACTATAACCGAGCATGGAAATGTAGGCCACCGAGCATTCGTGAGATGACGTAGACCTGGACACAGGGTCTGACAACACAGAGCTGATATAGCAAAAACAGATCTGTTCTATCAGAATAAAAGCGGCTAAAGGATTGGGATTGGTAAGTTATGGTGCTAGTTTATCATATGAAAATGTGTGGTAAGTTTTGGTTGGTGGTTGCAGGGATGAAGTTAAGGGAAATGAGGGAATGTTTTGGGTTAAGTTTTTGTTTTGTTTACATCTAGGCAGGTCAGCGCATGCGCAGGAGGCACCCGTGAAGGGGGTTCTCAGCTGTTCCCTTGGACGAGTCTCGGTCTACGCATATTCGGAAACAGCACACCTTCCCATTTTAATTAAATACTCAGATTTGTACCTGTTTAATTAATATTTTTTTAGACTCATAAATAAAGACTTTTATTTGAAATAAAAGTGTTGAATATGTTTATAATGTTTAAATTAATGAACTACGGGGGTTAAAAAAATATAATCAAACAGATTCGGAAACGGGGTATGTCCGGGTTGTGGACAGAATCCCGACTTTTCGCTCAGTGATCGAGAGAAGGAAAGAACATGGCGACTGTCGCCCAACCAACACAAAGGTTTGACGTTTGACAAAGAATCGCTCACCTTTTATTGTGAACTGAGCGGTCTGGACACCCCGTGCACAACTTTCACTGATTTTCTCACCATATTAGAGCATAATGTTGACTTAACCGTGTTCTGGGGACACAGGAGGGAGAATTTCGTTCTCCCCAAAGTCTGTGCTGGGTTGATGTGAATAAAAATAGTCGCTGTTGTTATGAAAGAAAGAAAATAAAACATCTGCATGATTTCGCGCGTCAAGACGTCGGGGATACAAAGAACATTTAACTGCCAACAGTGACTTGATATCAGCAGCCCGGGGGCAACTTGCTTAGTGCGGGAAGATCTTTGTGGACAACGGTACTTGAATGTCGTCTGCAACAGTGACCATTAGCATTATGCCTGTGAGACACCATGGTCCCTGTGGTGTTAACACCAACTGGATAAGTAAGAAATTATGTTAAGCGTTAGTGTCCAGAGCATGTTCGTTACTGAAATGTGGAGACCTTTACTTTCTAGTGATATCAGTAGCCATGATAGAATCAGTCATTATCTAGTGGTGGTAGAATTCATTGATTTTAATTGGGGGCAAGTTTTTAAAGTCATTTGTTTTGCCCCATTCAAATCAGAAGAGTAAATCAAATCAATTAAATCAATACAATAGCATAGCCAGTAGATAAGTTGGTGAATTGTTATGTTTTAGTACTTATCAGTTTCAGATTAAATCTGTTAAAAATAAGAGTAATTGAAATATATCCTGTTCAACTCAATGGGGTTATAGTAATTGAATTGAACTAACTGGGATATATCGGTTTTTATTATTGGCTTGTCAGTTATCATTTAATTTATTCATTGTTTTTAAATTTAATAAATATAATATATTTATGTGTTCATATCAGCTGTATTAGTTCATGTGGTGGTATAACACACTACTGTAATTGTAACAATGTTATCACTAAGAAATAACATGTGCTGTTCTCAAAGGAAATATTTTTTTTAACAGATGATTTTTTTTTTGGCATACGATGTCATTTGTTATAATTTGTTTAGTTGTTGTGCATGTCACATAGTAATGTTAATTTTTTTTTTGCACCTGTTTGAAGACTTGCTACTTCCATTTTTGTAACATGTTTTTGTTTGATAAATTAGCATTCAATGTCACTTTTTTTTAAATGTTGCAAAACTGGGTTAAAAAAAATTCTTAAGCCTCTTGATTTAATTCATTGTATTTCTGTTTTCTCTGCCAACCCTCTTTTATCCCTTCTGTTCCTGTTCTCTAATCCCTTCTGTTCCTGTTACTCTACCAACCCTCCTTAATCCCTTCTGCTCCTGTAACTCTACCAACCCTCTTTAATTCCTTCTGTTCCTGTTACTCTGTCAACCCTCCTTAATCCCTTCTGCTCCTGTTACTCTACCAACCCTATTTAATCACTTCTTTTCCTGTTACTCTACCAACCCTCTTTAATACCTTCTGTTTCTGTTACTCTGCCAACCCTCTTTACTCCCTTCTGTTCCTCAGCTACTCCAACAACCCTTTCTAATCCCTTCTGTTCCTCAGCTACTCCAACAACCCTTTCTAATCCCTTCTGTTCCTCATACTACCATGTTAAATCCACTCTGTTCCTCAGTTATACTACGAACCCTCCTCAATCCCTTCTGTTCCTCACTTACTCTGTCATCTCTAATCCCTTCTGTTCCTATTACTCTGCTTAATTTAATCACTTCAGTTCCTTGGTTACTCTGCCATCTTTAATCCCTTATGTTCCTCACTCTTTATCATCTTTAATCCCTTCTGTTCCTCAGCTACTCTATCATCTTTTATCCATTCTGTTCCTGTTACTCTGCTGTTTTTAATCCCTTTTGTTCCCTAGCTACTTTACATCCCAAAACCGTCAACAGCATGTATCTGTATTCTGGATTTTTTGGCTGTCAAGATCTGAAACTTTTTGTTGCTACAGTCAAATTTCCATGAATATCACCATTTTAGATACTGTTGTACCCATTGACCACTTGCAACATATGTGACCATTCAGGCCTTGAAAGTCACCTGACATTAGCACCTTTCGGGCATTATTGACAATGTTATGTCATTGGTGGCAGTCCTTTTCAAACCACCCCCTTCTATTTTAAGGTAACAGTTGCTTAACATAGAAAGAGTTAAAGTAAGTGCCTTGGACTGCAAAGAGTTAAAACTATATGTTTTGACATTAGAAGCATATCACTCTGCTCGGTTCTGACATTTATGACTAAACTGACAGTTTTTCAATACCAGGTGCTGTGATGCACCAAGTATAAACATAGTTACTTGATTTTTTGTTCCCTCTCTACAAGTAAAGTGAGCCAAGAACCCTGTTTGTATCCTTGACACATCAGGTATAAGATGTTAGAGAAATATTTGTATAGACCAATCTGCACAGGGGGAAGGGGGGTGGGGTGTAGTCCTGCATCATCCTGGTCACTTTTGCTTCCCAGGACATTGCCCCGGTAACCATTTTAGGTTGCGAGCCAAGGTCAGTAATTAAACAAAATCAGACTCGGTGCAGATTTAACCCTAGACCTTTATGCTGGCAGAAGAGCTCTATCCACTACGCTACCACCACAACTCCTGTATATCTCTTAAAAAGTATCTGCTCTGTGATCACATCTCTAATGTCAGTAACTAGGTAGGATTCTCTTCCCTCATATATTGTTAGAAGTGACATCTTTTTTCAGATACTGCTGTCTGAATGAGTTTCTGTCTTTGATCATCATCATGTACCCTGCCAACTGGCATAGGCGCTTATGCGTCTCTACAGATCACGATCCGTGGTTGCCTGGAACAGCTCTCTTGATGATGTCCCTCCATGCCATCGTTTCAGCCCATCCAGCATCTCTCTTAGTCTGCCTCTCCCCCCTTTTCCACTGATCTTTCCAGTTGTCACGATGTTCTCCAATGTCTCTCTTCTCATTATGTGGCCAAAGAACAGTGTTTGTCTCTTTCTTATTGTTGTATATAGAGATCTACTTTCATTCGCTTCTTTCAAGTAATCGTTGTTAGTTTCTTTGACCATCTATATGTGATATTATACCAATATTGGCTCCTAATACTTTATTAGTGATTAAATCATTTACAAAATCAGATAAAATTTAAAATGAAGAGATCTGAAGAAGACTTGGACTAAAGCGAATCATACAGTTTTTTAAAGAGCAAAGGATGAGATGGTTTGGCCATCTGACGAGAATGCTGTGGTGCTTTAATCCCTTCTGTTCATCACTCTGCCAACCCTCTTTAATCCCTTCTGTTCATCACTCTGCCAACCCTCTTTAATCCCTTCTGTTCATCACTCTGCCAACCCTCTTTAATCCCTTCTGTTCATCACTCTGCCAACCCTCTTTAATCCCTTCTGTTCATCACTCTGCCAACCCTCTTTAATCCCTTCTGTTCATCACTCTGCCAACCCTCTTTAATCCCTTCTGTTCCTAGTTACTTTACATCCTAAAACCTTCAACAGCATGTGTCTGGATTGTTGCCTTTTACAGTCCTTGCCATCCACACAGGTGTCACCATTGACTGCTATTTACCGCTCTTTCTTCTATTTATGTCACAACTTGGACTCAACTTTTGGCTCTCAAGATCTCAAACTTTTTGTTGCTTCAGTCGAATTTCCATGAATGTCACCATTTTAGATACTGTTGTACCCATGGACCACTGTGGCCGTCTGTATGTGATATTGTACCAATATTGGCTCTTAATACTGTATTAGTGATTAAATCATTTACAAAATCAGATACAATTTAAAATGAAGAAATCTGAAGAAGACTTGGACTAAAACGAATCATACAGTTCATTAAAGAGCAAAGGATGAGATGGTTTGGCCATCTATGAGAATGCTGTGGTGCTAGCTGTCACAGAGAGCCAGGGTGAAGAAATATACTGAACATAGAAAACTGAAAATAACATGTGCTGTGTTATAGATGTGGTGTAGTAAACAGACTGGAAAATAGCATGTGCTATGTTAGAGATGTGGTGTAGTAAACAGACTAGAAAATAGCATGTGCTGTGTTATAGATGTGGTGTAGTAAACAGACTGGAGAATAGCATATGCTGTGTTAGAGATGATAAGGTAAACACACTGGAGAATAGCTTGTGCTGTGTTAGAGATAATATGGTGTAGTGAACATGCTGGAAAATATGCACTTGACTTGGTTTTGTAGATGGCAGATGATTTGTGAATAATATTCTTGTGTTGTGTTTTATGATCATGGGTCGTGGCTGTCTGTTGTTGATTCATACAGGATATTCAGGGCTGATTGAATTCTGTGTTTAATAGAGCATAGCTTTATCGTCTCTTTCTGTTGATGAAACTGGTATCTGATAAATATCTGGTTTGTTGACATCAGTTTGTGTTTGCGTTGTTTGCAAGAATAGAGAAAGATACAAATGAAGCAATCATCTGTACAATGTTTGTCAAAAGGTAACCGGTTTTTCATAGTGTTGTATAGTGCATTAGTTTTGGTGATGCAATCTTATGACCGGTTTTAATACAATTTTAAAATATGGTGGAATACCACATTGTTATTCCAAGAAACTTCAGAAGCACAAACCCCCCCCCCCCCCCCCCCCCCCCCCCCCACACACACACACTCACACAATTAAAAAACATTACAAATAATAATGACTTTTTAAATGGAATGCAATAGAATGAATCTCAGAATATCATGGATGAAGAAGAAATGAAATACTGACATCCTGCAAGATCTAAATATCAAAAAAGATTGACTAATGAACAGCATCTTGTCTCTGAAATGAACATTTTGGCATCTTGTGCTCAGTTTAGAAAAAAAAATATTTTGGCCACATGGAAAGAGGTGCCACCAGTGCAAAGATAGACACAGGATAATAAGTGACACCTTTGGTAGTAAAGTGCACGAGGTGGGAGGGTTGGCGAGAGACCGAAGTTTTTTTTCAGGCAGACTGTGATGACAGTGACGTTCGGCAGAGGACCTGCTGCATGATCAGTAACACATTGGTGATGCTTTAAAGAAGTGGGTGGCAGTGCAGTTAGCATTGTAATCTATCACAGCCAGGGGCTGTTGGGATTGGTTCTGCAGTGTCCTGTAAAGGATACGCAACAACCTTATGTGGTCTTGTAGTTCTTTTTTCTGAATGAGCAATTATTGCCTAGTCATCCATCCACAAAAGTAGTTCTTTGATGAAACTGTTTAGCTTTGTTCTTCTTCTTCTTGGTGTGCTGTATTACATAGTCCTTAGTCAGGTTGGTTTCAATCTTAATATTAACCGTCCTAAGTGTTTGAAGTTTTGGTTTGTTTTCAAAGTTAGTTGCTTTCTCTAAAAGTCCTGGGAGAGCAAAGATGGCATCTGTGCATCCCATGTCTTTCCGAAATCATAGTTGCTCTTTACTTAACTGGGGCTCGATTATTGCTCATAGTCTTTTCTATAGAATTTTGCATCTTATTGCATAGCCTAATTAATATTAAGTTCCCATAACAGTTTCTGAAAGAATGCTAATGATAAATTGTTCTATGGATGATCGACTCATCAAAGAATTCTTTTCCAGCTCCTACAGTTATCGGATCGAATTGGCCTTGTAAAATTAGTTATCAGATATTTCATTCGGAAAATTCTGGTGGCGACTGTAGCACGGCTTATGCATTTACTGCATGTGCATGTTTTGTAACTGTTTGGTTAAATTTTTTGAGCTAAACATTGTTTATGTGCGGTGTAGCATGCTATCAGCCAGAAAAGCAGCCTGTCTGCATTGAAGTTGAAATCTTGACTTTGATCACGATTTCATTTGGAAAGACATGTTACTATGAAAGTTACTTCAACTGTTAATATTGTACCATAATATATATGATATTAACATATCTAATAGCAGAATTGGCCTGTGAATCTTTTTTAGTTTTATTAAAAAAATTTTTTAAATGTACTTAGAATTTAAAAGTATCAAAATTCTTTTCAGGCATAATGAACATGCCAAACCAAGGAGCACGCCAGGTGTTTCTTTATGATCATGGGCGGCCACACTGGTCTCAGGGTGGCCCTCTGTTCTATGATCGTCGGGTTCCGCCACCTCCACCGCAGATGGGTAACTTTCCAAATCCTCAGATTCAGGGGCCATCACCGCAGTGGTTGAGAGGTCCATTCATTGGAGGACCCGGCCCAGGCCCAAATCAGAACCAGCAGCAGTTTGACGGGTTTGGCATTATACCATGGGGGAGTCAAAACAACTACAATAACAGGTACTGTATTCTCTGTTGTAGTTTTAATGAATTAATCGGGAATTCTTCTTCTTTGCTGTGAACTCTAGCCGAAAGTTCTGGCCCTTCATCCACCTCTGGACTTAAATTTAGTTCCACAACGGGAGTTTTGCATGTACATACATTTTACAAATCTGGCTTTTTTGTATGCAGCCTCTGGGTTCCTTGCCTCTCAGGCAGATGTACTCCGACAAATCAGTATATGGATACCCTTTTTGTTGCATTGCCACTTGATCCTAGAGATCCTTGACTTCACCACATCTGCTTTGTAATAAAGTAGCTCACCACCCAGAGTTAGTAAATATCCAACTAATATACATTAAGATATAGTTGTTTGATGAATTACTACTGGTAGTTTCCACCTTATAGCATTGGAGAACTATTGCTTTAGTGTGGCTAATTGGAGAACTATTGTGGCTACAGCAGATAGGCAGGCTGATTTTTTGTTTTGCCTTGGCTTTTGCTTTTGACAATGTTTAGCCATTGCATTTTCCCTCATGTAAGGACTAAAAGTGGATAGTTCTGTAACCCAGCTACTGAGCTGAGTGCTGAGCCGTGACACTAGGCTGTAGATTTAATTTGTAATGCTTTTCAGCTGTGCCCAGTGTGGCATATGCTGTGAAGATTCAGAAAATGATGTCCTTTTGCCACAGAACTGATGGTGCCTTATGCAACTAATTGAATATGCAAATACTGATTTGCTATAACTACTGCTTCCATCAACCATAAAGTGCATTTCTGGTGTAAGACTATTTGTGTTGGCACGTCTAGTGGGTTGCTGAATGCTATTGGCTTTGCAGAGACTGCAGTCTGAACCAATTATTTCACACGGGAGCTGTTGTGGGCATTCTGTGTGGTTTTGTTTGGTATGTGAACCGAGCAGCTCTGAGATGACCCATTTGAAGTTAGATTCTATTACTCTAAACCTTACTCTCTGTCGGTAATATTGCTACTAGCAAATTTCACTTTTGATCAGTGGTCAGCACAGATGATGAAGTTATAGATAATGAATATCCACGTTACTGATTTCTAGTTTTGTTATGAATTGTTTTTAGTTTTTCTGAAACTTTCACGTTATGCAGAAACTTGCAGCAAGCTCATGTTTTTATTCCCGTGGTCGTTATTTCACAAACGACATCTGCGCCAGTAGAAGCAAATAAGTAGCTGATTATACATCTCAGAATCAATACTTTGAACTATGCCAGGAAAAGTGGTGTTTAACTAATGGGTTTCCGGGAAAGGCTGACCTGATAAACAAAGCCTGATAAAGTTAATGTGTCGGTGGAAAGGAACAAATATTGCAGCTCTGCTGTAAAGTCACAATGCAGTTTTGTCACTCCGACGAACAAAGACGAAGGTACTGATGGGTTAGTTGGTAATCAGATGGCCGTTAAATATTACTTGTCATAGAATTAAAGGCAGTATCCCCAGAAGAGTGATCTATTTTATACTAGAACTGTCAATGAATGGGCTACAAGATAGAGATTGGGAGCGTTCAGGGATAGCTGGACATATAAGTAGAAAACACTTAGGTGGCGGGCAGCATTGTGAATATCAGTAGTTGGAAGCTGCAATGACAATCTATAAGACATAATTGGAAATAGACTGTTGGAATGCATACAAAAATTGAGCAACCTTGTCTTAGTCACAATATATTCCTCTTCTTCAGTCTTAAAAGAGCAGTTAGCAGGTTGTGTTGTGGTTTACAGCTAAGCTGTAATATTTTTTGCCTTCTGGTCCAACACATCCTAGTGCAGCTAATCCCTAATCAGTTGCTTTTTATGCCATATTGGTAAGGGCAATGGGTCTTTTCTCAACCAGGAACCAACACAGGGGATTGGGAGCAGCTGAAGGATAGCATGATAGATCAGTACCACTTGCTGTGAGAGTTAAGTCACTGTGGATATGATGAATGAATGGAGAGAGTCAGTGATGGTCCTTAACTCAGTTCAGAAATGAGCTGACCAAGAATATTAACTTGCTTATGGGCTGGAAATGTAAAATGATGACAGACACTGCCATAGAGATTTGAAAGGTTAAACTTTCACATATACTGGGTCACGTGTGGTGGTCTGTTTCTTTCCATCACACATCTTTTTAAGTTTTCAGAAACTTGCAAATATTGTCTAGTATTTATATGGTAAAGATGAGTTGATCCTTGGTTTGGCACAAATCTTCCCAATAATTATTGATTAGACCATATTGCCTTTGACAAATCTTGATACTAATTGTTGATTGGACCATATTACCTGCGACAAGTCTTGCCACTGATTGATGATTGGACCATAATGCCTGGGACACGTCTTGCCACTAACTGTTGATTGGATAAACTGCCTGGGACAAATCTTGCCACTAACTGTTGATTGGATAAATTACCTGGGACAAATCTTGCCACTAACTGTTGATTGGATATATTGCCTGAGACAACTCTTGCCACTAACTGTTGATTGGATATATTGCCTGGGACAAATCTTGCCACTAACTGGTGATTGGGCCCTATTGCCTGAGACGGACGGATCTTGCGATTTCTCTTTTCTTTCTCCAGCCACATCCTGGGACAGATTTTGCCATTTATTCTTCTTCTCTTACTCCAGTTACTTTATCGAAAGTTTGGGAGAAGATAACTTTTGTATACTCTTTCCAGCATATTTTATAAGTTGGTCTTAATTTCTTCAAGGCTGTTCTTGATTCCCATTTTTGTTCTGTAAATGTTATATTCCTCTAGCATAACTCTCCAGGGCAGTTGGTCCCAGAACATTCTCGTTAGATGGCCAAACCATGTCATCCTTTTCTCTTGCTGCCATTTATAGTTGATTAGACAAAGGTTGCAGTGTGTGGACATAAACACACTAACTACAGTTACACCAGAAGCCGCATAAACGGAAGAAAATGTCTACAGATTGTATCACTGTAGGAATGTTTTCCCATCATCATCATCATGTAAGACTGATATATGAACTGTCAGCTTGAGGGACTAGTGACATCACAGAAGACTGACATCAACTGTCAGCTTGAGAAACTAGTGACATCACAGAAGACTGACATCAACTGTCAGCTTGAGGGACTAGTGACATCACAGAAGACTGACATCAACTGTCAGCTTGAGGGACTAGTGACATCACAGAAGACTGACATCAACTGTCAGCTTGAGGGACTAGTGACATCACAGAAGACTGACATCAACTGTCAGCTTGAGGGACTAGTGACATCACAGAAGACTGACATCAACTGTCAGCTTGAGGGACTAGTGACATCACAGAAGACTGACATCAACTGTCAGCTTGAGGGACTAGTGACATCACAGAAGACTGACATCAACTGTCAGTATAGGAAACTAGTGACATAGAACACTGACATGAGCTGCCATCATAGGGAACTAATGACGTAGATAACTGACATGAGCTGCCATCATAGGGAACTAATGACGTAGATAATTGACATGAGCTGCCATTATAGGGAACTAATGACATAGATAACTGACATGAGCTGCCATCATAGGGAACTAATGACGTAGATAACTGACATGAGCTGCCATCATAGGGAACTAATGACGTAGATAACTGACATGAGCTGCCATCATAGGGAACTAATGACGTAGATAACTGACATGAGCTGCCATCATAGGGAACTAATGACATAGATAACTGACATGAGCTGCCATCATAGGGAACTAATGACGTAGATAACTGACATGAGCTGCCATCATAGGGAACTAATGACGTAGATAACTGACATGAGCTGCCATCATAGGGAACTAATGACGTAGATAACTGACATGAGCTGCCATCATAGGGAACTAATGACGTAGATAACTGACATGAGCTGCCATCATAGGGAACTAATGACATAGATAATTGACATGAGCTGCCATTATAGGGAACTAATGACGTAGATAACTGACATGAGCTGCCATCATAGGGAACTAATGACATAGATAACTGACATGAGCTGCCATCATAGGGAACTAATGACGTAGATAACTGACATGAGCTGCCATCATAGGGAACTAATGACATAGATAATTGACATGAGCTGCCATTATAGGGAACTAATGACGTAGATAACTGGCATGAACTGCCATTATAGGGAACTAGGGATGAGATAACTGACATGAACTGTCATCATAGAGAACTAGGGGTGTAGATAACTGACATGAACTGTCATCATAGAGAACTAGGGATGTAGATAACTAACATCAACTGTCATCATAGAGAACTAGTGATGTAGTTAACTGACTGACATGAACTGCCATCATAGAGAACTAGGGACATTATATACGACTGACATGAACTGTCATCATAGAGAACTAGTGATGTAGTTAACTGACTGACATGAACTGCCATCATAGAGAACTAGGGACATTATATATGACTGACATGAACTGCCATCATAGAGAACTAGGGACATTATATATGACTGACATGAACTGCCATCATAGAGAACTAGGGACATTATATACGACTGACATGAACTGCCATCATAGAGAACTAGGGACATTTTATATGACTGACATGAACTGCCATCATAGAGAACTAGAGACATTATATATGACTGACATGAACTGTCATCATAGAGAACTAGGGACATTATATACGACTGACATGAACTGCCATCATAGAGAACTAGGGACATTATATATGACTGACATGAACTGTCATCATAGAGAACTAGGGACATTATATATGACTGACATGAACTGCCATCAAAGAGAACTAGGGACATTATATATGACTGACATGAACTGCCATCATAGAGAACTAGAGACATTATATGTGACTGACATGAACTGTCATCAAAGAGAACTAGTGACATTATATGTGACTGACATGAACTGCCATCATAGAGAACTAGGGACATTATATATGACTGACATGAACTTCCATCATAGAGAACTAGGGACATTATATATGACTGACATGAACTGCCATCATAGAGAACTAGTGAAATCATAAGATACTGATTTAGAAATGAACCACCATCTTGACTGCAGTAATGACTTTAATCTGTCCTGATACTGTGCAAAGAAATAAGGTAATGCTACTCTGTTGCTGTATCTTGTGCAGGCATAACAACAACAGTCGGCACCATCAGGGGAGACACGTCGGAGGAGCTCCTAGACACAACAGAATGCTGGCAATCAACGCTCGCAACAACCACAGACAGAACAACGACCAAGAGGTGTGTGCTGGTGCCCTTGTCTGTCTCTTTTCTCTGTCACTTCAGCACCACCTTGACTTGTGCTCTAGGGAACAGTTTCTCCCTTCCAGGCTGCTACCTTCAGATTTGACACCACAGCTTCCTTTGAAGTCAAAGTTCATCTGCATGAGAGCCAAGGAACCAACAGTCTGCATACAAATAGCCAGAACTGTATAATTGATTGATGTGCCTGCAAAACTCAAGTTCAAAAACAAGACCAAAACCCCAAAATGGCTCGTCGTGAGCAGAACTTTGCGCTGGAGTTTGCAGCCGGTGAATGCAATAGACCACAGCAACTCAGATATCACTCCAACAGATCACATTTCCCAGATAACCCATTTCAGCCATCTAACCAGTTATAATTAAAGTACCTTTATGCCTACCATTGCGAACGCACTTTGTAATTCCGGGGTGCTGGGCTCAATTCTAGGCGTGGGTGATTCAGCAGCAGATTATCTTGCTTTGGTTTCGACAATAGTATCAAAAGCCACGAGCATCTTGTTAAAGGGACTAACTAGGGGATTTGCTGAGGTTGGATGTGTTGGGCTGAAACCTGCAGTTTAGCTGTAAACCACAACACACAAGCATCTTGTTAAAGGGACTAACTAGGGGATTTGCTGAGGCTGGATGTGTTGGGCTGAAACCTGCAGTTTAGCTGTAAACCACAACACACAAGCATCTTGTTAAAGGGACTAACTAGGGGATTTGCTGAGGCTTGATGTGTTGGGCTGAAACCTGCAGTTTAGCTGTAAACCACAACACACAAGCATCTTGTTAAAGGGACTAACTAGGGGATTTGCTGAGGCTGGATGTGTTGGGCCTGAAACCTGCAGTTTAGCTGTAAACACACAACACACAAGCATCTTGTTAAAGGGACTAACTAGAGGATTTGCTGAGGCTGGATGTGTTGGGCTGAAACCTGCAGTTTAGCTGTAAACCACAACACACAAGCATCTTGTTAAAGGGACTAACTAGGGGATTTTAAAGAGGCTGGATGTGTTGGGCTGAAACCTGCAGTTTAGCTGTAAACCACAACACACAAGCATCTTGTTAAAGGGACTAACTAGGGGATTTGCTGAGGCTGGATGTGTTGGGCTGAAACCTGCAGTTTAGCTGTAAACCACAACACACAAGCATCTTGTTAAAGGGACTAACTAGGGGATTTGCTGAGGCTGGATGTGTTGGGCTGAAACCTGCAGTTTAGCTGTAAACCACAACACATGCCAACTACCATTATAAGGGGAATGCAGAAGAAAGGGAAAGAAATTCATTTCCAGGTTTGAGATAAATTTGCCATTTGAGATTCACTTACAGGTAAAGTGCTTAACAACCTTTTTCCAAATTCGATTCTTGGTGAGATACTTTTGCCCCCCCCCCCCCCCCCCAACTTGAAGTGAGGTACTTCACCACCAGTTTTAGTACTTGCCTTTTTCAAATTCACTTCCAGTTTTGGTACATATGGTCTTTTCTATTTGACTTGCAGGTGAGGTACTTATGCTTCAAGTGTGGTGATTACCTTCAGAACTCCCCGGAATCAGGAGTGCACCTCTGTGACGCCGGGGCACAGAATAATGATTTCCGCCAGCAGCATCACCTGCAGCAGCAGCAGCAGAATAATGGCAGTGGTGGTGATGTGCCGCAACATCAGAACGAAGACCTGCAGGCCAGGCTGAGTCAGTCTTGTGTTTGTTTATTCCATTTGTTTGTAGCTGGCAGTGTTTATTCCATTTGTTTGTAGCTGGCAGAGTCAAGTCTAGCAGACACAGACAGCAAATGATGGTTCATATAGTTAGTCGCGGCTTGTAATGAGGGATAATAGACAGCAATGTTTGGGGCTTATGGAGAGAGGATCAAAGATAACAGAAAGACGGAAACTATGTACACAGAAGACTTTAATGGGAGTAGACAGCGAGACAGACAATGTAGGTATAATACAGACAGACGTACAGACACTTGGAATTACCAACTGGAAAGAGAAAGCTAATCACAGAGATGAATGGAGGTGGGTGATATCTGCATCAGTGAACTTCAAGGGCTCAAAATGAAGAAGAAGAAGAGAAACAGGATTCTTTCCCTGTTTCAACAAGGCCACTCAGCGTGTAGGTCATAGGTTCAAGCCCCAGTGAAGGCTGCAATTTTTTACATGGACATCTGGTAATTACCCCTGGTCTCTAGGTAGCAAAATCGGACGCTGTGTGTATTGTTGCGCACTAAAAAAATCCCTTGGCAGTTGGAAATAGAAAAAGAGTAGTCTATCATCGCTGCCTGCCAATATTTGGAGTTATAAATCTACCCATTTCAGGACCCCTAGCCGGTGCTGCTCAGTTTGTGCGCTGCACTGAGATTCTTCGGTCTCGGGCTGGAGTCAGAAGTAGAACAGAGCACTAATGGTTTAATACCCTTGTGCCATGATGTTGATCCATCGTCTAAACCTAAACTGTGTGGGTTTTGGGGCCCTATTGTTGGGTAAACAAGAATAGACCCACTGCCTCCCCAACAAGCATGTCAAAGGAGTTGACTGGGAGCTTCCTTCGAAGTCAGAGTGCATCTGTCCGAGTGGCAACTGCACACAGAAAATCCAGTAAAAGGATGTACATGCAAAACTCAGACCCTGGCACAAAGCTAAAGTCCAAATTGACTAACTAGTGTTTTCTGCCGGAGTTTATAGCTGGTGAGCAAAGAAGAAGATGAAAATGATTCTTGATATCTGTCAGTGTGGCTTGGGAAGTTGTCAGAACATGAATGTATTCAATCTGCTGGAGATTATGATATGTGGAGCACCATGATGTAAAGTACTACAAGCATTCAATAACTGATGCCTGAGCAGAGTAGAGAGAATTAAATAGTATAATAGAATCACTAATGTGGAGTTTTCGGAGAGAACTAAACATATTCTAATGAATCAAGAGGTGAAGAAGAGACCCTGGCATTGGATGTGACACATGTTGAAAAAACCTGAGAACAGTACAACTAGAATGTCTTTGCGCTGGAACCCACAGGGGCGTAATAATTAAGGCAGACCCAGAAAAAGATGGAGAAGAGAGCTAGAAAATGAAGTTAAAAAGATAGTGAGGACATGGAGTGATCTTCATGGAATAACAAAGGATAGGATGATTGGCTTGAGTTGGTTGAGGGCCTACAATCTTCAAGGGGATACAGGAAAGAAGAAGAGTGATGAAAACTGACTGATACCCAGAGCTGTACTGGTAGCAAAAAGAAATTTTCTGCTGGAAGTTGTTCCCAGACTACTGTCTTGGCAGACAGATGCACAAACCACTGTACCCCTGCTTCTTTTTACAACATCATATCCCAGCCTTGGACTGCAGGTTGCAGCTGAACAGGGTTTTGTGGATTTGCTGCTGTTTAGTTCTCATCTGATGAGCTGCACTAAAAATGGTTGGTGGTTGATTGTGTTCGGAACAGCATGTACTTAATCAATATTGCATGTACAATGCTGGCTGTTGTAATTGACAGCGCACATCAACAGTGAGCTATAGTTCTGGTTTAGGACAGTTTTGTTGGCACATCTGTTGGCTGCCATGTGCATTTACTTTGCCTGTGTGAGCTTCAAGATTTTGCGGAGACTGGCATGGTTTTTCACCAGTTTTCTGACAATGAAGGATGTTTTGCATGATTGCCACTTGCACAGGAATGGAGCAGTTGTGAGACAACCCATCGGCAGTGATGTTGCAACCTTGACTAACAACTGATTCTCATCTTTGAGGTGTCAATCCTGTGGACAGCCATCTTTGAGGTGTCAATCCTGTGGACAGCCATCTTTGAGGTGTCAATCCTGTGGACAGCCATCTTTGAGGTGTCAATCCTGTGGACAGCCATCTTTGAGGTGTCAATCCTGTGGACAGCCATCTTTGAGGTGTCAATCCTGTGGACAGCCATCTTTGAGGTGTCAATCCTGTGGACAGCCATCTTTGAGGTGTCAATCCTGTGGACAGCCATCTTTGAGGTGTCAATCCTGTGGACAGCCATCTTTGAGGTGTCAATCCTGTGGACAGCCATCTTTGAGGTGTCAATCCTGTTGACAGCCATCTTTGATGTGTCAATCCTGTGGACAGCCATCTTTGAGGTGTCAATCCTGTGGACAGCCATCTTTGAGGTGTCAATCCTGTGGACAGCCATCTTTGAGGTGTCAATCCTGTGGACAGCCATCTTTGAGGTGTCAATCCTGTGGACAGCCATCTTTGAGGTGTCAATCCTGTGGACAGCCATCTTTGAGGTGTCAATCCTGTGGACAGCCATCTTTGAGGTGTCAATCCTGTAGGACAGCCATCCTGGAGTGAACAATGACTACCACACCATAGGTCCCTCTTAACTTTAGGAAATCAAGCTGCTTTCAGTGTAGTCAATAAAAGTATTGTTTCAGAACGTAACACTGGTTATAATCTGTAACTAATGAGGGAAATATAGCAATAGATGAATATAGAGTATGCAGCAATTAGTTGGTTAAAAATATTAATGGTGGAATATGACATTTGAAACTAATTGGGTGAAAATATTGACAGTGCAGTATTTAGCATTTCTGAAATTGAGGTAGAAATTACAACAATGAAATATCAAGTTAAGAAATGGTTGGGGTATACATGTCAAAAGTTAAATAATTATACTAAACATGCCTAAACCTATTGAGTAGAAATGTCAACAGTGGTATATGGATAGTGTCTGAAATTAATTTGGTAGACATGTTGAGAATGAAGTTAAATCATATCTGTGTTAATGGGGTAGAACTGTCACAGTGGAATATTTAAATCACTTCTGAAGTAATAGGGTGGGCGTTTTATTTAGGAGAGATTAAAATCAAAGGGTTCAAGTTTCGAGATGTGAAATTATACATCTTTAGCATGTCCTGCGTTTATTTGTTCCGTCAACAGTTGCATTTATGGAAGAAGCTAAAGTGGCTGTGAGCTCAGATGTCAAACTGTCTCAGGAGGACATTCACAAGGTGTGTCTGGAGAGGGCCGAGAAATTCCTCTCTCTCTACAGTCAGGTATGTGCCTTCAGTTTAATATTGTGTGTTGGTTGATTTGGTTGTCCTGCTAGTTTGTGTGCCTTCAGTTTAATATTGTGTGTGTTGATTTGGTTGTCCTGCTAGTTTGTGTGCCTTCAGTTTAATATTGTGTGTGTTGATTTGGTTGTCCTGCTAGTTTGTGTGCCTTCAGTTTAATATTGTGTGTTGATTGATTTGGTTGTCCTGCTAGTTTGTGTGCCTTCAGTTTAATATTGTGTGTTGGTTGTCCTGCTAGTTTGTGTGCTTTCAGTTTAATATTGTGTTGGTTGATTTGGTTTCCCCACTAGTTTGTGTGCCTTCAGTTTAATATTGTGTGTTTTGATTTGGTTGTCCTGCTAGTTTGTGTGCCTTCAGTTTAATATTGTGTGTTGGTTGATTTGGTTGTCCTGCTAGTTTGTGTGCCTTCAGTTTAATATTGTGTGTTGGTTGATTTGGTTGTCCTGCTAGTTTGTGTGCCTTCAGTTTAATATTGTGTGTTGGTTGATTTGGTTGTCCTGCTAGTTTGTGTGCCTTCAGTTTAATATTGTGTGTTGGTTGATTTGGTTGCCCTGCTAGTTTGTGTGCCTTCAGTTTAATATTGTGTGTTGGTTGATTTGGTTGTCCTCCCAGTTCGTGTGAACTGTTTTGTTTGTCTACTTATGTTAGTTGAATGCCTTATCTTCCAGTGATAGTTCTGGTGCCCCATTGGGGGGATAGCTGTTTCTGACTTCCTAACAGTAAGTGATAATTTGGTAAAATTTGTATATATATTTTTATATAAACATAATATACTTTATTGATAACGTAAAATTGTGGTCTGAAAGATGAGTGTTTGGAAGGGCTGAATGTCAGACCTGCCTGCCTGGTCACTTTGTAACCCTTTGAAAGTAAAGTTTGTTCTCCTTTTCAGAATGTTACTTTTTCTGTTGAAAGAATCTCTGCATATTGTATTTCTTTCTTCTTTTCTTTGTCCCCTATCACATTTTGTCTCAGATAAACCTATTGGATTTTTTTCCCACGCTTTTCCTTTCATCAGTCTCACGAGCACGCGCACACACACACACACACACACACACACACAATCTCTCTGAGAAACACTTGAGACTATTGCAACAACACATCTTGACATGTTGATTGGCACTCATAGATGTTGAGGAACAATTAAAAAGCAGACACTGGACCAGATACATTTTAGTGAATCAGGAAATAAAGATAAAACTATAGCTTTAGATGTTTATGTTGTCTAGTGTGTCCTACTATCTCTTATTTTGTTCCTCTACATCCACAAGTGCCAGTCTGAAATGATGTGTATCAAACAATGCCACCTATACTCCTGCAGCTACAGAGTGAGCAGCTGTCTATACAACAGCAGAAGCTGTCGCTGGAGGCTCAGAAGAAGGAATTGGAGCAGCGAGATGGGGAGTTGGCGGCATTACAGAAACGCTTGGAGGAGGATCGTAGTAAATTGGTGCGGGAGTGTAAGAAAGAGAGGGAGGAGATTGCTAGAAAATGGCAGGAGCTAAAAGACGAGATCACCAGGATGGAGGAAATGCATACAATACAAAAGGTACAATAATTAAATGTGTGTTTTGTTTCCAAAGTTGGCCAGTGATTCTTTTTGTTTTCCGTCTTGTAAATACTTTTAGAACACATCTAAAAGAGATGAAACCTTATTGCAGATTTGTGAAAACAGAGTCGTGCGATGAATCTCTGGGCCCATCAAAGATGCAGACAGTGAGGAATGGAGAGTGAGAAGCAACAATGAAATTCATAATCTGTTTAATTCACCATTGATCACTGTCATCATGAGGACTAATAGACTGCAGTGGTTGGGGCATATTGAATGACAGAGAGGTAAAAACTGTCTACACAAGGGAGTTGACTGTTAGTAGACCATGAGGCAGACCAAGAAGACGATGGAGAGAATACCCAGACAGACCTACAAACACTTGGTATCCCCAACTGAAAAAAAGGCCAAACCAGAGAGATGAATGGAGGCTGGTAATATCTACAGTAGGGCTCAGAATTCTGAAGAAGAAGTAGTTCAGTTATGCAAGATTATATAGTGCATGATGATGTTAGCAGAATTAACTTTATGATGTAAATTTACATATTTGACAGCATTGAACAGGTAGCTGTTCTTGGTTTATGAATGCATTGATTAAAAGTCTGCCTGTTTGATTTTTTAGGGCCGAATACGTTTGGATGTAGGTGGCAATTTGTTCACCACTTCGCGCCTAACATTGACACGGGACGCAGACTCCATGCTGGCGGCCATGTTCAGTGGACGACACCATGTGAATCAGGAGGAAGACGGTACAGTTTTCATTGATCGGGACGGCACACATTTTAGGTAAGCTAAATCCCACCATCATCATCATGCAACTAGTTGTTTTGCTGAATGAACGAACAAACACACACTTTTGGTATGCAAGCCAGTCCAAAATTCTGCCCTTCCAGTCTCATGTCATTTGTACAGTTACTCATTCATGCATCGTTTCCTAGGTACTAATAGACATTTTCATCCAGGTATTAATTACCAAGGCTAGAATGTGCACTTATTTTTATAAGCAATAATAAGACTTGTTATAAAAATGACAAAAATAAGAGAAATATATCATATGCTTAACATACTTTAATCTTTTAGGGAGGCATGTTCAAATAGTTTCCGATTGTATGTATAAGGGTTAGTGGTATTTTGATTCTCTGTGGAAGATGATTCCACAGCTGAGCTGCAGATTACGCTAAGATGCATTTTCAGCACCACCTGCCAATAAGACTGGGGACCTGTCAGTTCTTCAACCATTTTCAGATCTATGACATCCCTTGTTCCCTGTGCCCTTCGCCATGTTGGTGCTGAGATATTTGTTTTGCTGCTGTTTTTCCTATGCCTTCCAGAAATGACAGTAGCCAGTGTGCACTGGATCACAATATATTCCTCCCCATGATGCGTAATGGCAAAAATGGTTTATGATGATGATGACAATTTTTCGCAAGTGGCGTTTGCCTGTTTTCGAGCCAAGATTGCTGATTGTGGGTCAGCTATCTTCAATATTCAGATCTGTTATAATGTAAATATTTTTCTTGATCTACAAAAGGCACAGAACATTTCTGTAAAATCTAAGTTTCATCTTCATCATGTGCCCTGTCGATAAGCACAGGCAGTGATGTTTCTCACACGATCACCAGAATCATGGATTAGGTCAGTGCTGTGGTCTCGCCACATCCCTATAACCGAGCCATCTGGGTAGATTTATATTTAGAAGTCTTGATTTTCTTTAGTAGGTGTTGTATGGTCAAGGATTGGCATCTGAATGTTGCCACAGAAAAGATGCCTGTTCTCATAATTACTTGTACTTGTTTGCTTGTGTTGTAGCTCTTCTTGCCTTTTACTTTTGGCTTGACCGTCCCACTCATAATAGGTTACTTGGTATTTTAAGTATAATGCTCTTTCTGTTTTCTGTCACAGATAGATATAACACGTTATGTCCAAATTACTAATTCAGCCAGTTCTCTGCCTCATGTAATGGGTTCTGGTATATGGTATATGGGTTCCATATATAAATATATTTACTTAAAAATGCCTTTAAGGGTGTTTTCATATTTTTTTTTAAAGTCACAATTTTCTCATAGCTTCAAAGATAGAAGTCACTAGGTCACAAAATGAGTCGTCGGATAATACTTTTTAGGCCTCCAGTGATTGTATTTTATTTAATGCTTCCGCCCATTTGTGTTTATGGATTATTATATTTATTTGTGCGGTGTATTTTGGATTTAAAAAAAAATATGCAGGTAATAAGTTTATTAAAAAGGTAGTGGGAGCCTGTGTAAATATTGAATGGTTCTTTTAATTTTAAAGATTTGGGGGGATTGCCTTGTGTTCCTGACCCAGTTGTTGAAATTTTAAATTATTTGCCAGGCCAAATGGTTAAAATACCTTTTTAATTGTGTTCACTTTCTGTGAAACAGGTTTTGTCACATTAATTTCTGTTTAATCTTGTTTCCTTCTCCTCCGAACAGATACATCTTAAATTATCTGCGGGATGGTGGTGTGAACCAGGATGGACTGCCACGTGATCGCCAAGTGCTCAAGGAACTCCGCAACGAGGCTATATATTTCCAGTTGAATGGATTGGTGCAGACCATTGAGAAGTATTTATAAAGAATGTTTTTAAAAAATGTGTTGCTTAACGCAACTGATGCATCCAGTTGGTTGCTGACTTAGAGCCATTTGTATAGCGGATTAGTCATTTTGCGGGTATTCATTGCTCTTGTAACCTGTGCTTTTAAACAATTCTAGACACATTTCTAACACATGCTGCGATGGTTTGAGAGGGGGGGGGGGCACCCTGGATAAGCCTGTAGACCCTCTGTGTGCTGTTTTCCCAGGCAGACTTTGATTGTGTCAGCAGTTTTGTGTATTAGTCGTACTTGATATAACTAGGGCCCACAAGTGGCTGTTTGTTCATGCTAGAAGTTGTACATTACATTTTAAAACTAGGGTGAGCTTAGCTTCCACTTCAGATGGCATTTACATTTGTATTCTTAGTCTGAGATTAACATTTTAACTATTTGAGATTTTACAATGCATTTCCAGTTTTGAAAGCACCCAGCTTGAAGTCTTTAAACTAAAATCTGTATCTTTGCAGGCAAATGTCATTGCTTTCCCCATTATGTAAATTAAGAATTTGTTAGTTTACATCCAAAACTTCCTAACTGTAGGCAGCTCCAGTATAGCCATTTTTTATGGTTGAAGTTTCTTAAATTCTTCCTTTGGGTTGGCATCTGAAAAGTGACTCCTTGATTCTCTTGGTGTCAGTTTTCAAGTAGCAATCACAAAGTTAAAAATGTTTTAAAAATAAAATATAGCTTTTAATCAGATTTTTTTTAAAACTTGTCTTGTATAGGTTGAAATGTAATAAAGGTTAAACATGCCCTTGAAATCTAGAATGCTGTGGTAAAGAAGGCATTTTTTTTTATTTCAGTATATACAATTTTCTTCAATCCAAGTTAACCAAGAGTTTTTATGTTACATTTTCAGATGATTACCAGCCGTTTGTTGGGTAGATAATTAACTCTTAACCAGGGCTATTCAACTGGCAGCCCACGTGCGAAATCTGGCTCGCAGAGGTGTAGCAAGGCCACTGACCCACAGTTATCCCTATTTTCCAACATTTTTGGCCCCTAAGTGAACATAGTTTAAATGCAGTGCTCTACGCAGTGATGTTTTTATCTCAGTTTAAGACGTTTTTAGAAAGAATTGTTAGGGTTGAATTAAAATTATGACTAATTGAGCGCTGCACATTATAAGTGGTCAGCCCTTTTTCGGAAGAATTCCTGCTATTGAAGTGATCATTCATCCTGATCCTTATTTGCTTTTTAAACTGATGATTGTTCAGGACCCCAATGAGCTTGAAAGTTGCATGCTCACAACTGTTATAAAAATGATAAGCAAAAAATAAGATTTTTCGCTGCTTTGGAATTGCCTTCTACTAAAGAATATTAACTCACTGTTTTCGGCTATTCATCTTTTTCTTTTCATCTTCCAATAGAGACTCTTTCAGAAACACTATCAGCCTGATACTGGTGCTGTTGAGATTGGAACCCTTCACTTGCTGCTGAAGATAGTGATGGAGCGCTCATTTGAATGTCCCAAGGGCTCTCTCATGAATCTGTTTGTAGATGTTTATTCTTGGTTACATTTTATAGGGTAATTCTCTATGGGGTAAGGTAATCTTCTGTGGGATGAGGTAGTCTTTTGTGGAATGAGATAATCTTCTGTGAGATGTGATCTTCTGTGGGACAGGGTAATCTTCTATGGAACGAGGTAAACTTCTATGGGATGAGATCAGTCTTCTGTGGGATAAGGTAATCTTCTTTGGGATGAGATTAGGTAATCTTCTGTGGGACAGGGTAATCTTCTATGGGATGAGGTAGTCTTCTATGGAACGAGGAAATCTTCAATGGGATGAGTTTAATCTTCTATGGGACAAGGTAGTTTTTCTATGGGACAAGGTAATTTTCTATGGGGCGAGGTAAATCTTCTATGGGGTGAGGTAAATTTCTTTGAGATGATGAAAATCATCTATTGGATGAGGTGGTCTTCTGTGAGATAAGGTAATCTTTTATGGGACAAAATAATCTTTTATGGCATGATGAAAATCATCTTTTGGATGAGGTAGTCTTCTATGAGATCAGGTAATCTTCTATGAGATCAGGTAATCTTCTATGAGATAAGGTAATCTTCTGCCAGTCCACCAGTCTCTTCATAAAACAGGCATCGGTTACAACTTTATTTGAAAATACCACATAATCGTTTGACATCTACAGATTAAAACATTAATTTTTACCCTGATTTAAAAAAAAAAAAAAAACTGAGCTTACAGAGGGTTCTTCCCAGGGCCTCCCAGTCTAGTCTATCGCTGTTTATCAATCGGCCGGCTGCTCCTCTCTGTATTGTGTATAAACAAGCTGTAATCTTGCTTGTGTGGTTTGTCCAACCAATTCTTCAAAAAAATACTGCTATAAAAAGTCAGATAATGTGGTTGTTGTTGGTGTTGCTGTTGTAATAATTTGCATGCCGTAGCTGGTGATGGTACTGATGCTAAAATAAACCTAGTTCAGTCTGTTTTTCCTCCCTTGCCTTCGTGTATTTGTATTTTTGTATCACTAGTCTGAGAGCAGTTTGTTGTTTATATTTCAACACAAGTTGTCACATTTACCTTGTGAAAGGTCACACACATCCCAGCAGTTTGTTCTGGCAATAGCGGATGGATGGATGGTGGTACTTGCTGTTTAGGCTTTGTAGCAGTTAAGAGGGAATCAGTGTCAATTATCTTGTCTCTATAGAGAGTGGGTGACAGTAATCTTGTCTCTGTATGAAGTGGGTGACACTTGTCTTGTCTCTGTAGGAAGTGGGTGACACTTATCTTGTCTCTCTAGGGAGTGGGTGACATCATATCTCTACATGGAGTGGACTTCAGTTATCTTGTCCGTGCAGGGAGTGAGTGACAGTTGTTTTTGCAAGAGGGAATGACAGTATTGTCTCGTCTCTGCAGTGATGGATGACAGTACTAGTTGTTTCAGCAGTCTTATTTCTTTAGGAGTGTGTCCCCACTCTTCTGTTCCCAAGAGATGGATAACACTCATCTTGATCTTTCAGGAGTGGATAACTGCACACTGGTTCCTGTAAGGTCTTGCTCCTGCAGGGATTTGCTACTTGCAAGGATCAGTGACAGTGTTTGTGTCTGCAGGGATGGATGACAGTGCTGTTGTTTCTGTTGGAAGAGTTGACTGCGTCTGCAAGGATGGATGACAGTACTGTTGTTTCTGTAGGGAAAGAAGACTGTCTGCAGGGATGGATGACAGTACTGTTGTTTCTGTAGGGAGAGGTGACTGTGTCTGCAGGGATGGATGACAGTGCTGTTGTTTATTTAGGAAGAGATGACTGTCTGCAGGGATGGATGACAGTACTGATGTTTCTGTAGGGAGAGATGACTGTCTGCAGGGATTGATGACAGTACTGTTTCTGTAGGGAGAGATGACTGTCTTTGCAGGGACAGATGGCAGTACTGTTGTTTTTTTAGGGAGAGATGACTGTGCGAGAATGAATGACAGTGCTGCTATTTGCAAGTATCAGTTGGGTTTTTCCCTGCAGGGGTGGATGACAGCGCCATTGTGTCTCCATGAGTGGTTGAGGTTGCTTGTTTTTTGTGAACAGCACAGTTCTTAGCGCTGATTCCTGTAAGATCTTCCCTACACGGGGATCATTGTTACAACTGCTTTTTTTCCTATATAGTTGACACATACTCAAGTAACATTGTATTTAGCATATGAAACTGAGCTGATGTATTCTCACATATGAATCTGATATTGCTTTTTTTCTACTTGTAGAAGTTTTCTTAGCTTTGAACCTGATATACTCCAGAATGCACTTAGCGGCCACTTAGTTGTTGTTGTTTCTGCTGCGTGAAAGATTGTAAAGAGATACTGTATGTTATCAGGAGTCAAGTCAGAAACTATTTTAAAATTGTTTCTCCCCCTTTTGTGTGTGTGGTGAACAATCTTGGGTATAATTTTCATTGGACGTTTACTTTTTGTGGAGAATTACTGTTCACATTAACCCCATCTAGTTTTCCTAAATGCCTTATATCTCATGTCTGCTTCATTTATTTTTGTTTCTTTTTTAAAAACTTTTTACAATGCACTCAAGTTTTTTCGCTGATTGTCTCCTTCCTTGCGTACCAGCATTTTGTGATTTGATGAGTGCTTTTTTGTGGAGTAAAATGTTGGGACTTTGATCAAAGCGATAGTAAAGTGCTTTTTGATTTCTTTGCTAGTAGTTGCCATGAATGGAAACAAGATGTTTCCTGGGATATTGTCATGGGTGTCAGACATCCTTCCTGGGATATTGTCATCGGTGTCCGACATCCTTTCTAGGATATTGTCATGGGTGTCAGACATCCTTCCTGGGATATTGTCATGGGTGTCAGACATCCTTCCTGGGATATTGTCATGGGTGTCAGACATCCTTCATGGGATATTGTCATGGGTGTCAGACATCCTTCCTGGGATATTGTCATGGGTGTCAGACATCCTTCCTGGGATGTTGTCATGGGTGTCAGACATCCTTCCTGGGATGTTGTCATTGGTGTCAGACATCCTTCGGCAAGTTTTAGTTCTTTCATTTTGTGTTTTGAAATTTTTTGATCAGCTGTATTATTTAGTGTGTAGTTGCGTATTTGCCCTGAATTTCTATTGAAAGTTCCTTTTCTTTTGTGATAGCAGGAGAAAATCTAGTTTTCTTTTCTTTTTTTTTTTTTACAGATTCAGACACTGAAATGCATTATTTTTACAGTAAGGAGAAACTTTATGATCACCAAGGAATGATGGGTGTCTTTCGTTTTCACTGTGGGGAGAAACTGTAATTGCCAGGGAAAAATAAGCATCTGATACTTGTAGTAAGAGGAGAAACTTTAATTGCCAGGGAAAAATGAGCATCTGGTACTTGTAGTAAGAGGAGAAACTTTAATTGCCAGGGAAAAATGAGCATCTGGTACCTGTAGTAAGAGGAGAAACTTCAATTGCCAGGGAAAAATGAGCATCCTTTGTTTGCACTGTCAGGAGAAACTTTATGATTGCTAGGGAAAATAATGCATTCTT